CACAACAACCAATGTTGTCAGTACGAATCGCACACTTCGAATGTCTGGTTCGAATTCAATTTAGTGACCAAGAAAACTATTACAGAAGGCCATTTAGAGATGGCCTTTCATAGATAAAACAGGAAGGGTAGAGAATGAATTGACCTCGGAGGTCATTGAGGAATGTCTCCTTGAGGAGAAGGCTGAGAGTTTTGGCGACCTCGGGTTCCCACGAGATTAACGGGAGGATGAGTTTGGCGCCAGCCAAACTCATCCTCCAATTCTAATAAATTTTGCGACATGCTTAACTTGAAAAGTACTTTTCAAGTTTTCAAAGGAAAGTACATTATCCTTCGAGTTAATCAGCAAGCAAGCGTTCACTGAAGTGACGATTTCCTTCATGTGCTGATCTTGTCATAGTTCAAATTTCATCTTTTTCTAACAAATGAAATCCTTCTGAAATTTTACAAGTCGGAACGTGAGCCCAAGCTAGGATCGTTGGGAGACTTACTGCGACACCTGTGTACACAAATTAGCAATTCAATTTATTCGAGTTTCTCTAGAATACCGCAGGGCTCGCTGCACAAGCGAAAGGTTTGGAGACCGTGCCGAACTAACATATCATACCGAGTACAGAACTTGAAGCAAAACTTGTACTGCATTTTTTTTCTTTACCCATCCATACTTTGGTCAAAATGAAGATTCTAATGCTTGACGAGCAGTTTGAAAATGGCGAGGGTCAGCAATAGTTTGAAATGCAGACGTGTAACTAATTTAAGCAGCACAAAGAAGTTAGGTATTCTATATATTTCATGACTTTTTTTGGCGCACAAAAGTTTTTGTACAGATTATCCAGAAATGGCTCGAGAGGATGAGACTCATTGCCTGGGATGTAATTATGCACTTGACGCCTGTCTCAATTCCGATGTTCAACATACATTTATCTTCCACTGTAGTTTCTTTCAAAGAATAACTTTTGTCAGTTACACAGCACTGTACCTTGAAGCGCTATACAGAGATGAGATTGCTATTCATCATTTCCGAGTTGACAAATTCTCTGCCAAGTTCTGTTCTGTCAATCTACGTTGCAATTTTGTTTTCCAAAGTCAGCTTTACGCTTTATTGAATTATTGGATGGTGCACCAATTGCAATGCTGGTAATTCAAGAGTGGCAGCAGGGGCCCTATAGTCTCCACATTGAAGCCCCGTATCAAATAGCAGTGAAATTGTTCTATAAAGTGCATTAAATTGCGGAATTATAACTGCTGCAGTCGTAGCTTTAAAAGTAAAAAAAAGTTTGTTGAGGAAATCATCTGGATATTTCCGTTTAATAAGCATTTTTACCATTTCAGAAGTGTATTTTTGATAAGTTCTTGCTGTTGATTCAAATTCATAGATTCCGTTGATTATCGTCAACCAAGAGGTATAATGACAATTCAGCAGGCTGATCATGCAAAACATTCAAAAAAAAAAAATTCTCAATGAAACCTACTTGTGGACATCAAAATTATTATATTCGTACAAAATTTGGTCAGACGACAATACAATCAATCTGCAATTGCCTAGCTCGGAATCAATGCGGGTTACCAAGCTGGGATTCAAGTGGAGCATTTCTGTTATTTTGAAGGTAAGCAGGCGTTCTTAACGATGCGAAGCCACCAGATATGGCAGAGATTTTTCAAAAGATACTTCGAACTCCATTTATGTACAATATTTGTAAACATCTGCATATGCAGTAGGAAAGAACCATTTACTGTGGGTAGAAACACTAGTCAGCGTTGTATTTGGACTTGTTTCGGAGGCCATTTTTCAGACTCAAAAATAGTTGAAGATTAAACTGTGGGAATGATCATGTAAGCAATCTGTCCAAAATGGGAACTATTAGGTGAGGATACAGTCATGACGGACTTCTGGTGAATTTTGAATGTGCTGTTCATATTTAAAATTTATTTTAAATGTTCAAAGTACAGCTCTGCATGAATATCAGTCCTACAAGAAATCAAGCCCATGCCTGAAAATTTATTTCAAAGTACAGTATCTTTCTGGAACAGGGTCTCCTCAAAGTGCGAATTATTTCGTTATATTTCTCTGACTCGCTTATATCATTTTGACTACTGTATTGTATAAATATACGTCCTCGAAGCACTCAAGACTCAAGAGTATGTGTCAGTATATAGTCGGTACCCATACCGACGTTTTTAAACGAGAAAGTCATCAACATTTTATTGTAATACATTTAGGCATATAGTCTTTTTTGCAATAATGCGTATTTGTTTAGTCCCTATTCTCGTGTCATTCAAAAATGCGACCTATCTCCGAAAAAACATTGATCATGGTCAGCTAAAACTTGAACAAAAGTGTACAATTGCGGAATAAATCTGTCAGTTTGTTTTTGCAAATTTTTGACCAAGAAGTTTGCTCCGCAATTTCCCACTTAATGGAAGAATGATTCTGAAATTAAATCTAGGCTTTCATCCAACGTTTATTTATTTATTTTTTATTCGCGGTATATCCAACATTCGGACCCATCGAAGCAGGGATTTTCATGCCAAGAACAATCTGGAAAACAACTCAAGACAAAAGCTTGTGGAGGTAATGCATATCGTCAGGCAGCAAGTGGTATCCTGGGGCATGGATATGCGATACGACGATGGCATTTTTGTAGAACAACCACATGACGGCACTCGGAGTCACATCCTTGGTCATGATCGTTTCTGCAAAGGACACTCTGAACCGACCATCATGCTTTCTAGCAATTTGAGCTCGTTCTGCCAAAACTCCAGCTAGATATGCATCAGCTTCTATGGCCCAAAATGGACCTTGCATAGCTTCCCAAGTCAGGGATCGCATGGCGGATCCCGTGTACATGTAGGACTGGATGAGGAAGTCTGGAAACTGCTCAAAAGGGAACCGCAATTCTGGTGCGTAGCTTGTGTTTATACCAGAGACAATCCTGCAATGTAAAGAGAAAAAAAGAGATGTAGCTTATTTGGAAAAAATTGTTGTGGAGAGAATGGGCTGAGAAAAACCCAGTGAAGGTTTCTCCTCTCTCCCAAACCTTTCCCACAATTTGACCTAATTTGGCAATTTTTTCATTTTTTGTGCTGATATTTTTGAATTTTAGTGATTTGACCACTTCCAAAATCGATCCTACTCTTTCAAGATATTAGTGTCAAATGTCAAATTACTACCTAACGTATTAGTAAAACATATCGAAAATTTATTTAGAACAATCGTTCAAGTTGGAAAATCTTTGCATTCTAGGCTTTTATACAGAAAAACAACTTCGAAGGGTAACTTTCTTCTTCAGTCTTGATTCTGTTGAATGAAAACATCTTGTACCATGAGAGCTCACCATTTCGTGCGCGCAACCACTTAGGAAAAACAAATTGGAAAATTTTCAAAATCAGGGATGGGAGCGGTTTAGGAACATTTTTCATTCTCCTAAATCCATCCTAAAACTGCTCTCCATTTTATTTTCTTGTGAGAATCCTAAAAAATTGTCAAGTACTGAAAAAAAGCATTTCATGCTATTAATTCGTAAAATATCGAATTTAAATCTTTTCAAGGGGTGAATGAGGGGTCATTGTCTTGATTAGAATGTGATGCACAGTATTGATTGCAGTACTTTCGCGAGTCGCATAACGAGTCATAACCAAAATCGTTGCAAATAGAGATAAAATTGAAATGCGTTGAATCATGAAAAGCGAAAAATAGCATGATAAACGTACCTTATAGCATCGTTCAGGAAATGTTTGTCATAGCACCGGTGGGGCATTTTCCAGCCATGCATAGTCTTGTGGTCATTCATATGACGACTCGCATGTTTTATCGCATTTTTGACGTTGACGTAAACGTCGTCGTCGGTTTTCATAATATGAGTCACATGTGGACAGTTTTTCTCTACCTGCAAATGAAGATGCTCCGACTTTGTGATCACGAATTCTCAGTTATTTTCAATGGGAAGCTCTTCTAACTTATCTCTATATTAGGTTCGGAAAAATCGTTAAAAAATATCGAGTGAAAGCAAAGGGGATTACTCAAAGAAGAACTGCACCATGAAATGGTGCTGATGGTACAAAAAATTACATAAAGTTAATCCCCGTACAACAAAAGACCCACATTGCGCAAAAAATCCGCCGAACGACATTTGTTAACCGAATAAACTCGCGAATTTGAACTAAGTTTAAAACTGAAATTCGAAAACTTTTCGAAAAATCCAGAAAAAAAGAAAGTAAATGTCTTGTAAAATACATCTGATCGTCTATAGTACAATGAAGAATTTTAGAGAGTTATATGAGCAAGAGTTTTCAGGTTTGCTTCCGTTTCATAATAAACAGTATTAAGCTCAATTTTCTGCTTAAAAACATACAATAGCTTTTTTGCGAGTGGCTGGAACCATTTAAAATCGAATACAATGTGATTTCAAGGGAAAATGCGTTTTAAATAACGAAAATTTGGCGTGAAATATCAATTTGGCAAAGGATTAGTTTCGTTATGCGAGACACACTGTATACATGATCAATCATATTCAAATATAAAATTAAGTATTTGTATGGCATTCATTACTCATCAAGTCATTTCGATGGAAAGTATCCCATATAGAAACAGCAGTACAGTACATGATAATGTATGCGAACAGCGTCATTTTTCCCACATGCATAAGAATTTCTGATTTTCTGTTTGCGACATGCTCAAGTATTCACTTGAATATTATTGAGATAAAAAATGAAACTTCAGCAATTTCTTGCTTAATTTACTAAAAACAGAGGGTTGAATTTGCTGCGCATGCGATGCTGGAATGTTACAACGAGAATGTTTGGGCCATGCTTGGAGCATTAGAGTGACATCTATGATCTATCAGAGAAGATTCGATTCAAAAGCATCGAACGCGTTTGGGGCTACATGTAATAGAGAGCACTGCATTATATAATTTGATTCTGAAAGGTGAGTGAATTTGTATGTGTATTATGGATCTACAAGGGTTCTAACAAAAGTTATTGGAATAGAAATGGAAATTGCATACAATTGAGCTGAAAAAATGTATTCTTTAGGGAAAACATATTCTTTGGCACACAAAAAATCAGCCCTGTTTACGAATTTTTTGGAATGTTTTGGAAAATTCACCATGGCAGAGTTTTGCTATCCACTTAAAAGAGCAAAACAATCTGCAGGAAGGGGACCTCATTTGAAGCAAAGGCATTTTATATGAGAGAATCATATCACAAAGTATCAGCATACACTCACCCACATGACCGAGGCGATCTCTTTCAAGGCAATGTTGAACCTGACGTCATCCGCAGAATTTTGCAACAGATCTCCGTGAACGGAATTCTCAGCTACCAATTCTGCTTGCAAATCAGGATTGTCAACATTCCCCAACATGAATAACAAGGTGATCTCGTCACTTTCGGCGATGATTCTTCCATAAGTCTCTCTCACAAGCCGTCTGTGCTCATAATTTTTCGCTGAACTGAGTATCAACAGTGCTATGTTCACACGTGTCCTTGTTCCCTTATTGACCTTGCAACCCCCTCGTGCATCCAAGGGGTAAGTGAAGCTCAAATAGGTCTCGGGGGGACTGAAGGTTATGTTGGACAACCCGGATTCTGCGGGCTGATTTGCATCCGGATATCTCCAGGTTTGGCGAAGACGGGTCTCCCAAGAAAACCTCCGATTCGGCAGACCGCATAACAGGGTCTTATACCCACGTTTGTTCATGTACAAGAATTTCCTTTCTGGCCACAACACTGTGAAATGGTTGAGTGAGAGTAACACGTACGTCAGAGCCGTTAATATTATGGCAGGCAGAATGACGAATTTCAGCAACTGACGTTGCCAAGTGTTTCTGTGAAGGTATCGCCAATTGTGGCAAGGGAATCCGCTGAGAAGGAACACTTTCACTGGCAAACTCCTGAACACGAAGTATACTGGTGCTAAAATCCGCATTTTTTTGTTTTTTTAAGTAGCAGACTTCGTGAATATTTGGCACGTATACAACCGTGCTTTGGATCCAATCGCTGCTGGATGAAAAGACTGATCGAGTGCAGAATGATATTTGGAATTTACGGGGAGAAAAACGTGACGCATGCATAATTTTATGTTTTCTGCGCTTTCTTTTGCAGAGTTTTGCTGAATAATCGCAGTAGAAAAGACGCCATTTTAAAAATCGACCATCTTTTGGTTGAAAAGACAGTGAATATACATGATGAGAGGCATATATTCTAATAGCAGAAGACCTCGAAGAATGATTTTCTCCCCCGGAATCGGAAGGATTCTTGTCAACAATTCAAGACGTTTGAGACATGAAGAAAAACTTCCCTCATGCTGAAACAAATTCATATTGCTCTTCGAATTTCTGGCCATATGATTGTGCAAAAAAAATGGCAATGCGCTGTGTGATATTTTCTTGCATGTCTTGAGACGTGATTCATCAGTTTACGTTCAAAAAACCCATGAATTGGATTTTTCGAATCTCCTCGTCAAGTTGGCTTTTTTTTTTGCAATACTGTAAAGTCTAACCGTGATCTTTTTTTCTGAAAAGTTTGTGCGTTCGAATAAATGCTAAGGTATTCTAGATTTTTCGAATGCAACTCGAGAAATAACAAATTAAAATGCAATTCGAGAAATGAGTCGTCTGGCATATTACAGTATTGGACATATTCTCAAAAATTTTGCGTTGTTTGAAACCGAGCGATCAGTTATTTCAAAATGGTTCACCAATGACTGTATTGCAAGAAAGAATTCCCCATTCGAACGATTACATGACCCAAATTATTGGAAAAAACAATCTAAGATCGAAGTGAATCAGTATTTCAAAGAGGATCAAACAATGAACCAAATCACTTTGAAATTGTAAACTCCTAATTCTGTTCCGATCAAAGAGCGTGATTTTGTGAGCGGCTGATTTAATGCAAATTTGATCAACGCTTTGGTGAATTTTGTTCAAATATTGTGTAGTTTCACTGAAATTCCATCCATCGTTGAAGTACGAAAAATTGTAAGTACAGTACGTTCTGCCCAAAACCTTAACTGAAGGGGTTTCCATTGTTTCAAGCAAATTTATTTCAATGTTCATCAAGGAAATGTAGAACATCCCACTGCTGCAAGATATTCCCTGACCCACTCTTCGTCATGCAAGGATGCAACGAATATTGTTCAATTATGCGGATTATTCAATCTATATTGTGTATAAGGAGTATATACGTAAGCAGAACATCGAAAATGAGTTCGACACAAATCGGTGCACGCACAAGTCGAAGACTTTGATCAACCTTTTCACCCCCGGTTTCATTTCGAAGGTGCCTCGAAGAAGAACAACGCAACATCTTCGAACGTGTTACTCAAATATAATCAACATGCATGCGAAGACTCGTTCTCTGGAGCATTGACCTGACCAAGTCCGAGCGGTCAGTGAAACACTTGAACTGCCTATTTTCGTAACGGAATCCTTTCCTGGATGGGCAATGCTTATTATCAACTGATTTTTTTTTGTAGGCCTAACTGGTCGAGCCCGCGGCAGAAGTGTACAAGATACAAGCTGGGTTTTTTTCTGGAAGATTTCCCGTCGACGAGCTGGGATAGGCATCAGTAACCTGAACGGAGGCCTCCAGGTTTCAACCTGTATAATCCGAGACACAAGCCCCGAAAAAAAAATTCCAGGAGTATAATGGAAGGAGCATCAAAAATGTTTCAGGACCTCGAGGAAAAGAAAATAAACGTGAATCGTGTCCACATTTCGGATCAATCAAATTTTCTAAATTCATTCTCTTATTGTCTTTCTTATTACTGTAATCTATTTCAAAAGTGATTAGTTTGGAAGTGAAAGAAACCGTCATGTGATGAATGTACTTTCCTGAAATTGAAATATTTTTTTCCCTTCTTTGAAAGTTTGCGGAATGATGACTGCATATTAGTCATTGCCTATACCGCATTGTTCCCCATCAAGTACCCAAACCCATGGTCCGCAGGCCGACAATGATCCGCAAAGTTTTTTGCTGGTCTGTGGAAAAATCTTTTTTAGCCTAAAAAATTTGCAAGAAGTGGCGGTGAAGTCTGTTATCTCGACATGAAATTCTAGAAAGACACTGTTGGTTGAAATTTTGTGATGGAAAATAAATAAATGAATTTTCTCTTAATAACCTCTCAGACAAATTTTCACTGGCCAAAATGAATTATAATAAGTTTGCGTTCTGTTAACCTTCCGTTAGGCCCAGATTTTTGATTTTTAAAAGAAATTCCACTATATAGCTGCATCATTGGTTCTTAACTTGATGTTTGCAGAATCGCACAAACATTTTTAAATACAATACCTGCTACAAAGTCTTTCAAACACAACTTTTTCGAGTCTGCAAAAATTTTATTAAACTTTGCTGGACTGCAGAAAATGCTCGGAAAACCTGCCAGTCCGCAAAAAATTGTGCGGAAAGTTGCCAGTCAACAGGCCCAAAAAGTTTGGCGAACACTGGTCAACATTTTTAAATATTTTATGAGATATTTGAAATACATTTTGATCAATGCTTATACATGTCCATTTTTTGTTTTATTTTCTTGCTATGGATTTAGTTTGAACTCCTTCGAGAATAAAATCGAGGAGGATGAAGCAAATGAAGTGTTTTTATTCACGTCGGTTTTTTGAGTGCTGTTGCTTGCTGACTGTGTTCGCGATTGAATTTGTTTTCGGGAGCTCTGACCTGGGACCAGATCCGGAAGTGACCTTGAATGCCGGAACTGTGGTTGGTGCGTGGCGTAAATCACCCAGTGGGTCACGGTACCGACAGTTTTTGCGACTTCCTTATGCAAAACCTCCCATCGGAGAGCTGAGGTTCAAAGTACGCAAATTTTAGGCATATTTAGAATATAGCATCTACTATTTGGTTTCCGATCTAACTGATGTCTAAAATGATGCCTAACCAAATTTAGATTAATAAATAAAATATCAAATCAGCCTTATTATTACCTCGTGATTTTACCTTGAGTTGCTTGATTCTCCTCGTTATTGGTCTAATTATGCCAGCAGGCAATGCGATGCAAGATTCAGTGGAACATGAGTTAAGACGTGTCAGTACATTCTTTCAATGTTATATAATGCCTTGAGTACTATTAACATTTCTGTGAAAAGATGTAACCTTAATTATCTCAACGAGGGTTGTCCGATTATTACCCAGCAAGGAAATTATGTTCTTGTATTGCATAAAAAAGCCTGTGTGAGAGCTTTCATGGGAATAGTCTCAAGGCAACTATTTTTCAAGAGCTTTTTTTTATCAGGGTAATAAAAATACTTTTTTCCATAGGTCACTCAAAAATCTACCGATGAACCAATGAATACCAGCAAAATATTTCTTGGACTGGTTTATTTTCAAAGCATATTTTATTTGTCCTCCTGTTCAAATACTGACTTGCAAAAAAAGAAAGCCTCTGCATAAATGTTCCAGTGGACTAATATAAGATATCTGCAAACAGACAAACTCTCATGCAGAACCCAGCATATATTGAATATAGTCAAGTTTACTCTTCATCTTGGAGAAATCTTAGAGGACCAAGATAAACTGTTGACCTTGTATGAATTCTCAATTTCTCATCAAAGATTCTCTCCAAATTGTTTAATCAACTAAACCTAACACGTTGTGCTTTAATCTGGGTTCAGCAATTATATATCTTATATGCTGCACTTCTCATTATTGATATTTTGATTTTATCATCAGGGAATGTCGGAAAGTGTATGTACAGTATTTGCATCATTGTTAAATTGTATGTTCTGGGGTATAGTTTCTTTTCTTTCAGTATCCATATATACAGCTTATTTCTCTGTTTTCCATCCTGATGTGATGGAATGTGTTTGGATGAATGTGGTTGAGGAGGGGAGGTTTCTTGAAAGTGGGAACTTTGCTTGAACCTTGTAAATGCTGAAAAGTTGAAAATAAGGATTGCTGTTCAATGCAATTCACTCTTCATTTCAAATGGAAAATTATCTATTGTAAATAACAGTAGTGTATTTGAGTTCCATTACAGCAGGTCCTGTTTTTTACGTTGATCATTTTCCACAGTTTTGTTAATTGATGCATTTCTTTTAATTTTGGAAAGCCACCAGAAACCCCTGAGAACTGGGAAGGAAAGAGAGTCGCTCGCTATGAGGCCCCACCTTGTCCGCAGTACGAGTCAGTTATTCTGAAGGAGTATATTGGACGAGAAAACTGCCTGTATGCAAACGTTTACTCGCCTGAGGTTAGTTTCATCATATCCGCAACACTTTTGATTTCGGATTCACTGCAAAAATGATACAATCTCCGAAAATAACATTATATACGCGTATATCTGATTATATCTATGATATCTGAGTACCTTCCGTAATTGCTGTGCATGTACATGGGGGGTATTCTTAAAAATTTATTTTTGCATAACGTACGATACTCTGTGTGCTTCAGAAGCAGAGTGAATTTTAGATTGCAAAGAATCAGCGAATAAAATAGCAGAAAAGTTTCGGATAAACTCATCCATCAAAAGGCAAAAAATACAGTCAGCTTTCACCCAGTACGTATACAGACCTCTTGCAAAACAGATTTTTGCAAGACTCTGGGCCTCTTAATTTTTTACAAGTCTCTGGAGGCAGTTTTTCCTTTCACATAACAAGCGAATCTGCATAACTGACTTCAGTCTGTAGAAGTGTGCACCACCAGAGGACACGAGTCCCTCAGGTTCCCCATTGCTTCCCAACTTAATTTGAATATAAAACATCATGATTATTGCCATGGATGTTTGTGTGTGTGTGTTTTGTTTTAGTCCTTTTGGTTGTAATCTTGCTTGCTTTGCACGTGGACTTGCATGAGGACACGTACTACGTGAACTTCACTAAAAGTTCCTGAAGATTTGTACATTTCATGCCTTCATCTTAAAATTCATCCAACTGCGGGATCTTTTGATAAAATCACTTTTGTCAAATAAATTTTTCTTCATTGATATACATCTTTAAATTGAAGGAAAATGTGCGCCCAAAGATTTATATCTCACTTACTACCCGCAAGCTTACGGCAAGTCAGTGACTTCAGTAGTAATTGATCAATAGTGCATTTAATTCTGCAGCATCACCGTAATACATTTCGGTAAAGTGTTTTATCAAAGTTATACTATAAACTTTGAGAAATTCAAAATTAACTATTGATATAAGCATCTGATGAATATTATTGAAGTGACTAAATTTCTATTCGAAACATGAATTCAGCTTTACAGCACTGATAATTCTTCATTTTTTTACAGCACAAATTGAACAAAATACATGCTTCATTAAATTTGGTAATCACTAATCACGCACGAAACACAAGTAAAATTATTTTTTGATGAAACAATTTATAGTGGAAGCGTTACAAGTGCAAATTTGTATCTAATTTGTATCCGAAGACAATAAGAGGATAAGGGCTGCGCAACCGACGAATGAATACTTGCATAATGCTTTGTTGCTTCCCCATACTTTCTAAACTCAATTCTTGGTCTTAAAATTGTTCCTCTGGATAATTTCATCAAATTTGAATGTATTCGAAGCATGTAGTCTCTGTAAACCTTTGAAAAGAATGCGTCGAAGGATAACCTCAAGCCTGTGCTGGTTTTCGTTCACGGAGGCGGCTATCGATCCGGTGTTTCGGCGTCCTTCTACTACAACCCGCTTCACCTCATGGACACCGGCGACATCGTCGTCGTTTCGTTCAATTACCGCCTCAACTTATTCGGTGAGTTGCAACTAAAAGTTATGAATAGTATCTTTAAAGAGTTATCAGATGCTGAGGATCTTGAACCCTTGAACCCGGAGTGACTGAATCATACATTTTTTGACAGGGTTCTTCACCTTGGGCGACGATGCGGCGCCTGGAAATCTTGCAGTGCGAGACAGTCTTGCTCTCTTGCAATGGGTTCAGAAGGAGATTAGGTTCTTTGGTGGAGATCCCAAAAGGGTCACTGTTGCTGGGCACAGTGCTGGAGGGGCTATTGCTTCTTACTTGATGTACGCACCAGAAGCAGCAGGTGTGAACACTTTTTTACTGTATTTCCATCCCAGGATATGTTGCAGCATCGGAATTTCCGCCTCACCTTTAATTTTTTCCTCATCTACACTGTCTTTTTCAAAATCCATTCCACCCAGTCAAACACGTGGTTAACCATCAAAAGACGAAGAACAATCGCATTAGCATGATTAAATGACGTTTTCGGAGTGGATGTGACACTTCAAGCAAGATTTTACTGTTCTGCTACTTGATATTTAGGAGCTATATCCGTAAAGCACTAGAATTTCCTTCACATTTTTTTTTTGTCCTCAGATTTTGAAAAATATAGTTCCGAAGGCAAATAAAAAATTCAGTAGATATTTCAACATTAGACAGGTGAGTGTAACTGTTGAATTACATGAATGTAAAAATATCCAGAGTAGTACGAATGAAAAGACATAAAAACGTACTATGAAATAATTCATTTTTTGAACTCCTCCGCATTTTCAAAGCTTCATTATTCTAAGAAAAAAGATCAAACCCGACCTCTACACAATTACCCTTCACATGGGCTTCATTTCATTCTTTGAGTTGTATATACTGTACCTCAACAACTCATTAAGCCGGAAACAAGTCCTGACTTTAAATAAATACCCGAAACCCTTACGAAGAGAATAACATCTCAATTCTGTCTGTTCTTTGAGATCTATGAGAAGTCAGACGACTCAGACCTAGTTCAAAATAAACTTTAATTCTTTGAAGAGCGAGAGATAATTCTTGAATTTTTTCAGCTGCAGTCTAACCCTATTTGTCAAAATGTCTCCAGAAAAGAAATGATTCCCAGGAAAAATCGGGCTATACATTTTGTAAAGCCAAGAAAAAGGATTAATTTTCATGAAATAATATTGTGAATTACTATAATTGAAAATAAAAAATTTACCTTAAAATTTTGGAAAGCCTGAAAGAATAATGCAAGCCACCATACCGCAACTGAAAGTTCGTGAGTTCTTATGCATTATAATGCAAATGGCGGTGGCAGTAATGTAATAATGCAGCTGGACTTTGAATTGAAAATAATTGAAAATAAAAAATTTACCTTAAAATTTTGGAAAACCTGAAAGAATAATGCAAGTCACCATACCGCAACTGAAAGTTCGTGAGTTCTTATGCATTATAATGCAAATGGCGGTGGCAGTAATGTAATAATGCAGCTGGACCATATTGAATTGATTCAATGAAAGTTATCGATAAAACTAAGGGTTCTTCCGGAAGAAGTCATAATCCGGATGTGATGTCACAGGAAGTACAGTATAATGCCTCTCGAGAATGTCATTCACCTATGTATGCGGAAGTCTCTGATTGATGCGAATCGTTCTCGTCGTCACACCTCAAGGTCCGATCCTTGAATTTTTGAACTCGCTGGACTCTGGCGTATGTCCAACAAAGGCCTCTTCGGGAAGGAATTTTATTATCCAGTTCATATATATATATATATATATATATATATATATTTATATTTATATATACATTATGTGTGGGCTTTCGTCTTTTTCAGGTCTTTTCCACGCATTGATCCTGCTGAGTGGGAACATTTTGTGCCCCTGGGCAATGCAGTCNTATATATATATATATATATATATATATATATATATATTTATATATACATTATGTGTGGGCTTTCGTCTTTTTCAGGTCTTTTCCACGCATTGATCCTGCTGAGTGGGAACATTTTGTGCCCCTGGGCAATGCAGTCAACCAACACTGCCGAGGCGTCTCAGCGGGTCCTGGAGTCCGTCGGCTGTCACGGCGGCAAGTCCAGCGACGACATCGTCGAGTGCTTGCAGTCAGTAAAGGTCGTTGTCCTACAGAAGGCCGAAGAAGCCCTGGAAGTGAGTACAGTATACAGTGTTTCATCCTAACACTCATGCATTAATGCTTGAATTTATAGACTGATATGCAAGCTTTATTTGCCACTTGTCAGCATTCCCAAGGTTTAAAAATCTGACCCAAACATCTGTTGAGCACAATCCAGCATATTGAAAAAAAGACTTCTACTGTAGTAATTGCACCACTTGAAACGTTTTGAGGATTTGATTAATTTTTTATGGAAATGCCATTCCTGTGCTTTCTTTAGGTAAAGCTGGTTAATTTTAGATTAATTAGTAAAAAAGTGCAATATGGAATGAATAAAGACCAAGAGGAAGTACTGAAGGCTGCATGCCGCCGTACCATGCTCGTGAAAAAAGAAAGGCATGTGATTTCCACTTGAATATAAAATCGTATATTGATGATGCTAGGATTACCACGAAATAAAATGTCAGGGTTTTTTTTGGGAACCAAAATACAAGAAAGACTTGGAAAGTGAAAGTTCAAGGGCAGAGGACAATCTCTATGCATGCTGTTACTTCAATATGCAACAACATGATCACATGAACAATGCTGGTACCATGATCTGAAAAATTTTCGTCTGTCACAGAATTTACCTCACTTTTTTCCGCGAACAGTACAGTATATCCTGCTCAGTCCAACCTCTTCAAGTCGAACTTGAATGATCCAGCAAACAAGTTTACCAGCACTTTATTTCGGCCTGAAAATGCGAACAGATTGAGACGAACCAGACAATTATGTTCCCATCAGGTTTTATTTCCGCTACACATGTAGCTGCATTGATAAAAGAAGTGTAGCCAACATCATTCCTGTTCCTCCCAAAAAATAAAAACAGGAGACTAATTGGGTTGGATGGGAAACTTCTATTCAACTCCTTTTCTTCCAAGCGAACCCTTTTTCTTTCCTTTATTGCTTGAATATTTTTTGTCAATCACGTGAAGGGAATAAAATTGCTCTGGAAAAAGGAAGAAATTTTGACCAGTAAATTTCGGTTACAAGACAACTCACATAGCGACAACTCACACAGCGACAACTCACACAGCGACAACTCACACAGTGCGACAACTCACACAGCAACAACTCATATAGTGCGACAACTCACACAGTTCTTTTTTTTTT